TGCCTCCCTAGTGCATTCGTCTCTTAAGATCTTTACCATATTTACTGTTTTCTGTTTTACAATTCTCATTTATCTCTGTATTCCTCACATTATCTACTATAATGTTTTGCACATAGTGGGAGCTCAATAACCTTTTTGAATGAGTAACTCTTACTAATGGATAAATATATTAGGACTACCTGTTAGTGCCTCAAACTTAGGCAATAAAATAATTAAATTCAGAGAAATTCCATAAAGCTTTTGCCTCGGTCCTCAATCAGTAGCAGAGATTTCCAGTGCTTAAATCTACTCTAAACACCTATATTGCCTGCATAACTCATTTCCATTCGAAAATCTTGGAGTCCGTAACATCTACTCATTCACTACATATTTAAGTACTGTGTTCTAGGTCAGGGATCAGCAAACTTTTTCTGTAAAGGACCAGATAATAAATACTTTAGCTTGACAGACCATATGGTCTCTGTCACACCTCTGCTCTTGTAGACAAAAAGCAGCAGTAGACAATATATAAACAACTCTGTTCCAATAAAACTTTATTTATGGACACTGAAATTTGAATTTCATATAATTTTCATGTGTTGCAAAATATTCCTTTTAAAAATTTTCTTCAACCATTAAAAAATGTGAAAGCCATTCTTACCTCTTGGCTCATACAAAAAACAGGCTAGATTTGTCCTCAGGGCCGTAGTTTGTTTTCCACTCTTATTCTAGGTTCTTGGCATAGAGACACATAGTGGACTTAATGAAGATCTCTGCCCTCATGCAGCTTACATTCTAGCATTGTGGAGGCGTACAGTAAAAATAATGAATAAACAATTTAGTATGCTAGAAGGTAATAAACCCAAAAAACCAAACCTGTTGCTGTTGAGTTGATTCCAGCTCATAGCGTTCCTATAGGACAAAGTAGAACTGCCCCATAAGGTTTCCAAGGAGCGGCTGGTGGATTTGAACTGCTGACCTTTGGTTAGCAGCTGAGCTCTTAACCACTGCACCATCAGGGTTCCAAGAAGGTAATAGGTGCTATTTAAAAAAAAAAAAGAGAATGGGAGATCAGGAGCACTGGGAATGGAAACAAGTGTCAGTATTAAATAAAGGTGGCAGTCATGTAGTAGTATGACCTTCCTTGGTTTCTGTACTCCTAAGGAGATGCCAGAAGTGCCCTGTAGGGAAGTCCTCACTTGAATCCATACCCATCAAATCAGTTCCAATGACTGGCTATCCATATTAATTTGATTCTCACCACTACCCCTAGTCGTTACTTCCTGGTTCATCTTGTCCCTTTGCGGAGGATTCAGGCTAATAGAATCTCTTATTCCCATGGAGTAAACATAGTTGAGCATACTATTTTTTCTCATCAATGAATCTAGAATTCTTGCTTCAGAAGTAAATTATGTCTTATATATTTGCACAAATGAATGTAGAAAAGATTATAAACATTTTTAGAGAGCATTTATTATTTTGGGGAGTGAAATGTTCTCTTTATTGTTATGTTGTTGTTGTTAGGTGCCATGAAGTTGGTTCCAACCCATAGCAAGTCTTTGCAAATAGTCACCAACTAGTTACTGACCACCTATCATTAGCTTCAAACCCTTCACTGGCTTCCCATGTCACCTAAAATAAATCCACCCTCTTCACCCTGATTTATAAAGCTCCAAGTGATCTGGTCCCTTCCCACTTCTGGGACCTCCTCTTCTCCCACTCTTCCTCCACCTACTGTACTTACAGGTTCCCAATTATTTTTCATATCCTCAAACATGACAAGTTTATTCCCACCTTAGAACTTTGCACTAGCTCTTCCCTATGCCTTATGCCTGGAATGCCGTTTCCCCAGTCATTGCATGCCTAGTTTTTTCTTGTTATAAGAAATGATCATCCCCAGTAGGCTTTCCCCAGTAACTCAATCTAAGTCGCCACCAGTCACTGTCATTCCCATCACTCTGTTTTAATTGTCTACATATCATTTATCACTGTCTGATATTTTTCATGTTTGTGTGTGGTAGGTTTTGTTTGTCATCTGTCTTCTACCACTGGAGATGTGAGCAAGGATTTTTGTCTTGCCCACTTCTAAATTACCTGGTCCTAGAACAATGTCCAGCATATAGTAGGTACTCAATAATTATTTTTTAAATAAATTAATGAAAGAATGCATGCATATACTCATGCCAAGTGCCCAGCACTCAGGTAAACATCACTGATGTAATATAGGCCTCCTTGGACTTGTATCTGCTCTACTTGTTCTTTCTCCTTGAAAGTCATCTCTGTTCTGTTCCTCAGCATCTTTCTTCTTATATAAACCCATTACAATCCAGTTTGTGCCTCTACTTCAAATAAAACTGCTCATAACAATTTCCCCTTGCCAACAACTTCCTGATTGCTAAGTCCAGTGGATTTTTTGTAGTCTTCATCTTATTTTAACCCGTCAGTAGGTTTTCATGACCTCTAACCTGGAACATTATCTCTTCTACCTTCACATCCGTGACACCATCTGTCTTGATTTTACTTCTCTCTCTTAAGCCACACATGCTCATGTTTGCAATTTTATACCACATCAAATAATACAGTTAACTTTTCATGTGGAAAAATCACTTCTGCTTGATAATTTCATGCCTTCCTGGTGCTCCACTTCCTGAACAAATTTGTGAACCACTGCAGTGAGTGAGACATGCTTATGTGCAACTTATTTAAAACTTTGCTTAATGATGTTTGGGTAGTCTTAATTTATGAACCACCTCTTTTATTGGAGAGTATAAGACATATTAGTTGTGTTTTTTGTTAAATCCCAGTAGATAATAGCTGAGATTGCAAATTCCATTTTGTCTAGCATTTGTACTCATTTTCAGTAGAAAAGATCTTTCAGGTTATTGTTTTCCCTCCAGTTTTCCATTTTAGAAAATAGGAGCTGAGACTTTTAGGAAGAAATGAAAGTAAAGTTGTTTGAAGATTTTTATAATCTATAGATTATTTTCTTATGTCAACAGAATAAAACTCCCACAAACCACCTATTTGCCACATTAAACAACAACAAAATTAGTAGGCAGACTAGCACTGTTTGTTATAGGACCCCAATGAAGAACATAAGAAGTAAACTTATCTATATTTATTCCCATCCTTACCTCTTTCCTCCTAATCGCCAGGAAAAAAAAAAAAAAAAGTTTTTCTTCTTCTATTTAAAGTCACTGCCTCCTTGAGGATCTTGCTCTATTCATCGTCTGCTTTCTCTCTGTTTTCAAATTCTCTGTCTCTACTAGCACTTTCCTACATGGTCTCTCTCATTCTGGAAATGAACTCCACCAACCCCCTCCTAGGTACTTCCCAATATTATTCTGGCCCTTCTCATCCATGCCTCTAAAAATAATGTGGATTTTTATTTTTTTAACATTTTTATTGTACAATGTAATATACCGAGAAGTACATAAAGCACGTGTGTACAGTTTAGCAAACTATTTACATAACACATACCCAAGTAACTATGGCCATGTTCAAGACAAATAAAATTGCAGCCACCTTGAATCCCCGTGTCTTGTGGTTTCCCCACTGGAAGTAACCATCATGCAACTTACATTTGAATAGCTTTTGTTGGTAATCATTTCCTTGCCCTTCTTTATAATTTTACTATCTATACCTATGTATGCATCTCTACACTCTTCAAACTAATGCTTTCTGCTGTTTCTACCCCTCCCCTGGTGATTTCAAAATTCTCTCGATAAGGTTATCTGTGAACATTTGGCACACCTAATGAATGTTTCTCAGTCCTAATCTCACTAGGTCTCTCTGCTGTATTTGATAGTGTAGATCAGTTCATCCCCCTTGAAACTACTCCCTTGAAGTCTGACTATATTCTCCTGTATCCTTAACCCTTCCGTCTCTCTCCCTTTCACAGGCTTCTCTCCTTGCCCTTAAGTGTTGCTGTGCCCAGGGTTCCAAACCACTGCCACTCTTATCCTGGCTACTATTAGGCAGTTACTCTCAAATCTGTTCTTTAGCTCAGACATGTTCCTTAAGATTTTACCTTACATAGACAGTGCCTGCTGGATATCTCCAGCTAGATACTCAACATCCAAGACAGGCTTCACCGTCTTTCCCTCTAAACTGGCTCCCCTCCTCCTGCCTTTTCCAAATCTTTTGTTGGCACCACTACCCACCTATTCAACCAAGTTAGAAACCTGGAAAGCATGCTGATTTCTCATCCCTCACATCTTTTCAATGACCAAGTGATGACAGTTTTATTTCTTAATGTATTTTTTAAACCTATTCCCTTATTACTCTTTTAGTTTAGGCCTTCATCATCTCACCTGGAATTTCTAACAACCACTTCATTGGTCTTTCTCACTGCTTCTAACCTTCTCCTGCTCATATTCACTCTCCTTACAGCTACAAGCCAAAATACAGTTCTAACTATTCTGCTCCTATAGTTAAAACCTTACACTTAAAAACCAGATAAAACCCAAGCTCCTTAACATGACTTAGAAGTCCTTTCATTCTTTTGCTGTCGAGTCAATTCCAACTCATAGCGACCCTGTAGGGCAAAGTAGAACTGCCCCATAGGGATTTCAAGAAGTGGCTGGTGTATTCGAACTGCCAGCCTTTTGGTTAGCAGCTGTAGTGCTTAACCACGGTGCCACCAGGGCTCCAGCTCTTCAGGCATACCTCTCACTATACCTGACTACATGCCTTATACTTTGTCAGCTGTATGCTTTGTTAGTTTTCATGCCATTGGCCATGCTGTCCTCGCTGCCTAGGATGTTCCATTTGACCTATACCTAATGCCAAGGGAGGGGGGTGAGAAAAATCACACACTGATGTTAACAGTGTTAAAAAAAATTGTTGTCATGTTACACACATTAATACTCATTTGACTATGGGGTCTCCTCACTAGCCTCTAGAAAGCAATTATTTTTAAGGAATTCCTTACCTAAAAAGAGCTCTTTTGGAAAAGATGAGGATTTGATTTTCTTCTAACATTTAATAAACACCAACTTTCATGAATATTCATGTTGCAGACCACACCTGGACCACCTAAAAAGCCGAAGACCCCTTCCGGACAGTCAACCTTAGTGTATTGCTACAACTGCGCACAGGAAGGCCACTATGGACATGTAAGTTTGATTGGCATCTGAGCATAAAATGTTCTGTTGTGCAGGGAGCAGTTGCTGAAAGATGAACTTGAATGTAACTCTGAATGCTTACTAAAACCTGCATTCTCTCTGAAGTAAGGCTTAATATACTTCTCCCATCCCTGCCAAAGTAATGTCTGTCAGAACATATTTGCTCTAATTGTTTTAAATGTTCATAAACCGGTTAGGCGAACACAAATGTAGTTCCTAATAGTGATCAACAAAATTGTAGCAGTTCTCATGAGTGCTTATAATTGCTCTTACTTTGACACAGCCAAATCATGATTTTAGATTTGCTATTTAGTCCTCCAGTACCTCTAGTTTTCCCTGGAACTGTGTTGAGCTCATTCTTCATCACTCACATGCAAACCCTGATACTCACTAGTGAAAGTACAAAGGTGCTGTATCATCAACTTGCCCTGCCCACCCACAAAGCCACAATTCCCGATCCATCCACCATATTCCCTAACCCCAACTAAAAAAGTCAGACTTTGTGTGTTCTAAATGCTGAGGTGTCAAAGCAGAAAAAACTTCTTGCTGTGAGGTGAGGGTGAGTCCCCTAGCCAGTTGCTACGTTAAGTGTAAAACACCAGGGTCTCATCCAGAGACACAATGCAATAGGAGTAGGCTCAGAGCTTGTACATTATGGGAATCTTGAGGCGGAGGAGGAAAAGCAGTGGCACAAGACATAAAGAAAGAGCCAACCTTTGTGAACCCCTTATGCCCCAGCAAGGCAGACTCCTTGTCTGGAACTCAGGCCATTAATGGAAGAAGTCAGGGGAACCCTATGGAGAAATACGTTCCTCTGTCTCCAGATGGGCTTCTAACAGCCTAGAAACCAAGATGGATTAATATCAAATCAGCCATCAGTCTAATGACAGGAGGTGAAAGGAATTCAGAGGCTTGGGAGTCCTGGAAGTGGGTAGGGGTAAGAGCAACAGATAGGGCAGCATCGCAGGTCACCTCCTGAATTCTGACTATGGTACTTCATTGGTGCAGACCTTGGGGCTGGAGCTTTATAGTGTATAGGGAGAGACAGAAATGCTAGAAGAAGAAGGTTCCCAAAGCAAGTAAGTGCTAGACAGAATCCATTAACAGATCAACGTTATCTTCCAGACTGGGCCAACTGGATCATGGGAGTTAAGAAATAGAAAGGTATGAGAGCTAGCATGCAGTTTTGATATCCAGTTCACATCTTTGCTCTGCTACAGACTTAGCCATGTGATTTGAACAACACACTTTTTTCTCTGATCCTCAGTTTCTTTATCTCCCAAGCAAAGTTGGACAGGGTGGTCTCTAGCACCCACCTCTCTCAGCACTGACATATGGATTCTGTGCACAGTGGGATCAAATCCATAGTATGGTTGTGCAGTTGGAGAGATCCCAGAGTATACCTGTTTCACTTCTATATAACTCACATTGAAAACTTAATTACAAACTACTTCTTTTATAAGACATCATATGTAGATCATTTACTGCTCTATGTATTCCTCCTCTTTGCCAATGTTTAGGTGATGTAGTGGTTACACACCTTTTAGGGAGTATATTCACATAAGCAGTCCACTGACAAATTGCATAGATGTGCAATTTATGTTTGCTTACCTCTTTAAAGCAGAGGGATATAATTTTAGCATTGTGTGTGTGTGTGTGTGTGTGTGCTTTATGTGAAGGTTAACAGAACAAATTAGTTTCCCATTCAATAGTTTATACACAGATTATTCCCTGACATTGGTTGCAGTCCCCACAATGTGTCAGTACTCTCCCCATTACCACCTTGCGTTCCCCGTTTTCATTCATCCGATTTTCCTGCCTCTTCCTGCCTTCTCATCTTGGCTTTTGGATAGATGTTGCCCTTTTGGTCTCATATAGATGATTGTTCTAAGGAGCACTTTCCTCATGAGGGTTATTCTTTATTTTATAGGCTTGTTTATAATTTGGCTGAAAGGTGATCTTCGGGAATGGCTTCAGTTCCAAGTTAGAAGGGTGTCTAAGAGCCATAGTCTGAGGGGTTCCTCCAGTCTGTCTCAGACCAGTAAATTTGGTCATTTTATGAATTTGAATTTTGTTCTACATTTTTTTCCCTCTCTAACTGGGACCTTCTATTGTGACCCTGGTCAGAGGAGTCGGTAGTGGTGTCCAGGCACCATCTAGTTCTTCTGGTCTCAGGCTACTGGAGGCTGTGGTTCCGGTGGTCTGTTAATCCATTGGACTAATTGTTTCCTTGAGTCTTTGATTTTCTTCACTCTCCTTTGCTCCGGATGGAAAGAGACAAATAGTTGTATCTTAGATGGCCACTCACAAGCTTTTAAGACCCCAGATGCTACTCACCAAAGTAGGATGTAGAACGTTGTCTTTATGAACTGTGTTATGTCAACTGACCTAGATTTCATCCGAGTCTATGGTCCTTAGCCTTCAAGCTCAGTAACTCAGTTTTGCAAGGTGTTTGGTTATATCTAGGATATTTCCATGACTGTGACCCCTGTGTGCTCTATTATGTATATGAATATACATGCAGCACATACAAATAATGTATGTAGAAATATCCACAGCCAAACCTCTATATCCACTTGGGTGTACTCTCAGATTCCCTCCCACACCTATTCAGCATGCATATTCACCTATGTGTTGTTGTTGTTGTTAGGTGCCGTCGAGTCAGTTCCAACTCATAGCAACCCTGTGCAGAACAGAACGAAACACTGCCCAGTACTGTGCCATCCTCACAGTTGTTGCTGTGCTTGAGCCCATTGTTACAGCCACTGTGTCAATCCATCTCGTTGAAGTTCTTCCTCTTTTTCGCTGACCCTGTACTTTACCAAGCATGATGTCCTTCTCCAGGGGCTGATCCCTCGTGATAACATGTCCAAAGTAAGTGAGACATAGTCTCACCATCCTTACCTCCAAGGAGCATTCTGGTTGTACTTCTTCCAAGACAGATTTGTTGGTTCTTTTGGCAGTCCACAGTATATTCAGTATTCTTCACCAGCACCACAATACAAAGGCATCAGTTCTTTTTGGGTCCCCCTTATTCATTGTCCAGCTTTCACATGCATATGAGGCAATTGAAAACACCATGGCTTGGGTAGGCTTTTGCAGCCAGTTTGCCCAGTGCGGTGGGTCTTTTGATTTCTTGACTGTTGCTTGAATGGGTGTTGATTGTGGATCCAAGTAAAATGAAATCTTTGTCAACCTCAATCTTTTCTCTGTTCATCATGATGTTGCTTATTAGTCCAGTTGTGAGGATTTTTGTTTTTTTATGTTGAGGTATAATCCATACTAAAGGCTGTAGTCTTTGATCTTCATCAGTAAGTTCTTCAAGTCCTCTTCACTTTCAGCAAGCAAGGTTGTGTCATCTACCTGTGTACCCACTCATAAATTAATGTTTGTTATTACTGTTGTTGCAGGATTGTATATGCTGTAGTATTTACTGTCATTGCCTTTTATTCTTACATACCTCTCAGTGTCTTCCCTTGCCTTGGTCATGTTGTGCTGACTTCATCCATTTTGTATACTGCCTTTTCCTTTACCAGAGTTAACAGGTGTCTACTCTTCAGTTAGTTATTTTCCCTCCCTCCCCCTCCCATGCCTGGTAACCATCAAAAAATGTTTCTTTCTGTGTGTAAACCTTTTGTGATTGACTTATTTCAGTCACAGTAATATCCTCCGCATTCATCCATGTTGTGAGGTGTTTTGTGGATTCATCATTATTCTTTATCGGTGCATAGTATCTATTGTGTGTGTACTACAGTTTATCCATTCATACGTTGATGGGCACTTAGGCTGTTTTGCTGTTGTGAGTAATGTTGCAGTGAACATGAGTAATGTTGCAGTGAACATCGGTGTGCATATGTCTCTTCTTGTCATGGTTCTTACTTCTCTAGGATGTATCCCTAGGAATGGGATTACTGGATCATATGGTATTTCTATTTCTAGCTTTTTAAGGAAGCACCATACCATTTTCCATAGTGGTCGTACCACTTTACATTCCCACCAGCAGTGTGTAAGAGTTCCAGTGCCCCCACAGCCTTACCAGCATTTGTTGTTTTCTGTTTTTTTGATCAGTGCCATTATTGCCAGGGTGAGATGGTATCTCATTGTAGTTTTAATTTGCATCTCTCTAATGGCTAATGATCGCAAGCATCTCTTTGTGTGTATATTTTTTCTTTTTTCTATTTAATTGTGCTTTAGGTGAAAGTTTACCGTGCAAATTAGTTTCTCATTCAAAAATTTATACACAGATTGTTTTGTGACTTTGATTACACTCCCCACAATGTGACAGCCCTCTCTTCCTTTCCACCCGAGTTCCCTGTGTCCATTCGTCCAGTTTTCCTGTCCCTTCCTGCCTTCTCGTCTTGCTTTTGGGCAGAGTTGCCCATTTGGTCTCCTATATTTGACTGAACTAAGAAGCACATTCCTCACATGTGTTACTGTTTGTTTTATAGGCTTTTGTCTAATCTTTGTCTGAAAAATAGGCTTCGGAGTGACTTCAGTTCTGAGTTAGCAGGACGTCCGGTGGCCATAGTCTCAGGGGTTCCTCCAGTCTCTGTCAGACCAGTAAATCTGGTCTTTTTTTTTTTTTTGGTGAATTTGAGTTTTGTTCTACATTTTTCTCTCACTCTGTCTGGGACCCTCTATCATGTTCCCTGTCAGAGCTGTTGGTGGTGGTAGTCAGGCACCATCTAGTTCTTTTGGGCTCAGGCTGGTGGAGGCTGTGGTTCATGTGGTCCTTTAGCCCTTTGGGCTAATATTTTCCTCGTGTCTTTGGTCTTCTTCATTCTCCTTTGCTCTGGACAGCACAGGGCCAATAGATGTGTCTTAGATGGCCACTTGTAAGCTTTAAAGACCCCAGATGCTACTCACCAAAGTAGAATGTAGAACATTTTCTTTATGTACTATGTTACGCCAATTGAACTGGAAGTCTCCCAAGACCATGGTCCCTAGCCCTCAGCCTCAACTCTTCATGTGTTTTTTAGCTGCCGAATGTCTTCTTTGGTGAAGTGTTTGTTCATGTCCTTTGCCCATTTTAATTGGCTTGTTTATCTTTTTGTTGTTGAAGTGTTGAAGTTTTCTATAAATTTTAGAAATTAGGCCCTTGTTGGATATGTCATAACCAAAAATTTTTTCCTAGTCTGTAGGTTCTCTTTTTACTCTTTTGGTGAAGTCTTTTGATGAGCGTAAGTGTTTAATTTTTAGAAGATCCCGGTTATCTAGTTTGTCTTCTGCTGTTTGTACATTTTTAGTTATGTTTGGTTTATCATTTATGCTTGTTCAATTAAAGAAAAACAATTATAGTTGAACACATACTGCTTACTAGTTACTGCCTGTTAATGTAGGTAGGAAATATATTAAAAGCATTTGGGATTTATCCCCTGAAATCTAGATTTAGATCATTTTAAATGTACAATAAAGCAAATTTGGCAGCTTCATCACTGCCATCGATGAACTATCGACTGTCCACAGTAATGAAGAAGATCAATGGTGTGGCTAATCCAGAATAGTAGATTAATTATATAGCCAAGTGTTAATTGTCTGTGCTAGTGGAGGGGACCAGCAATGTGGATAATCAAAATATAATCTACCATTTAGCTTTGAACAACATTTATAGTACTGTATAGCTCTGTATAGTCATATCATTCTAGACCATACAGGATCCAGATAGGAGAATACCCAGGTGGTCAAAGATAATCTGAGACCCCTTTCCCTTCAGTTTCAGAAATCCAGTTCTACAGATGTTATTACCGAATAATTTTTTCATGTGAGAAATAGTCTAAGAAGAATGTGACGCCGTCCTTCCATGGTCCTTCCCTAATTCCATTCACTCTCTGATTAGGGAGGCAGAGGCAGTTGTGTGCATCTCCATATGAGACACACAGTGATAGGAAGCAGTGGTCACTGTACAAAAAACGACTACAGGAGGGTTGAAAGGATGAGCAGGGAGCTGGGGAGCGCTGAAAGGTTCTGTTGAAGCTCGTATTGGATGAATGTATAAAGATCTCTAGGACCCTTTTGTAATCATAATTTGCTCTTACTATTTTATGGTAAGAATTTTAGACCCAAGTCTTTCATGAGGATCCTCTTTTCCTGGGAACTTGGAGCCATCATGGATAGAAGTTTATAAAAGCAGTTCTTTATGCTACCATATAGGTTTACCTTATAACTTCCAGGGCCCAGAAAAGCCCAGAGAGATCCAGAATGTCACAACAGAGTAACTTAAAGATAGTAGAAGGAAGGAAATAAAGATAAGAACCAAAATTACTGAAATAGAAAATACAATTAATAGGATCAGCAAAACCAAAAGCTGGTTCCTTGAAAATATTTTCTGTTCAAAAGAAAAGAGACAGACGCCTGGAAAAAACTACTTAAAGAAAAATAAAAGGCACAAATAAACAATGAGTGAAAAGTGTAAATAACTTATGATATACAGCATGATTTTTAATTATAAGAGAAGACTTTATAAACTTCATGAACCTTTATAAAGTTCAAAGTTAAATCCAAAAATATAGATAAGTAAATAATACTATAGAAAAATATAAATTAACCAAACTGACTCAAGAAAATAAATCTGCATGAACTAATAACCATTAAAGAAATTGAATCAGTAACCAACCCCCTTCTTCCTGGTCAGAATATGCCAGACCCAGATAGCTTTATATGCAAGTTTTGCCAAACCTTTATTCAGAAACAGATAATGCAAGGAAACACTAGCCAACTTATTTTGTGAAGCTATTATAACTTAAAGCAATTTCAAAATGTTTACAGAATGATACCATTTTCATGAATTCTGAAAACTTCAAATTTACACTATTGTTTGTTGAAATATATACTGGTAGTAAGAGTATAAAAACATATATGAGAATGACAGCCACCAACTTTGAGAAAGTGTTAACTTCTGGAACGGGAAGGAGATGAATGGGAAATTAGAAGGAGAGTTACACAGAAGATTTTAGTTATATCATTAATGCTTTAATTCTTGGAGAAAAATACTAATTTAAGGTAAAATGTTATGATTTGATAAAACTGAGTGGTGAGTACAGGCTTACTTTATTTTCTGTATTAAGTGTATATTTGGAATCATTCATAATTTTTTTAAACTCTGCCAATCAAACAAGGGTGCCAGCTTGGTCAGATATCTTAAAAGTATAAGTCCAGTATATAACGCCAGAGTTATATGATAAATCAGCTGAATTCTCCGTGGATGTTTCACATATTTTCTTCCTAAGAGACATTCTAATTTTTCTTCAATGCCTAGCTAGGAAGTGTTGAACACTTGTAAATAAATGTTAAGCAAGATAGCAGAAAAGAGAAATAGGAAGGTTCCAAAGGGAAGCATCTTTCAAAGAAAAGATAGTATTTGGTTTCGGATATGCTGCTGTCCAGATGAGTATATGCCACAGATCATGGTAAACAAAAGCCTGCTATGTGGGGAGTGGTCCGGCCAGAGATGTGGATTTGGGCAGTAACTGCCATGAGAAGGCCAGAGGCTTGAGAGTGGGTAGTTGTCCTAGGGAATGAGTTAGAGTAGTGAACTAAACTTCGGTAAGGGGAGCAAAGAGAAGAGGGATCCTTTGGGGTATTGCAGAATCTCCTGGGAGCATTTTCAAACTAGACATAACCCACTCTCCACTGTAAGAATCACTACCCGTGTGAGCAGTGTGTGTTGAGTTAAAATAAGCTTACACAGCAATTATGTAGAGGGGAAAAAGGCAAGGAGCTAAGGATTTACATGCGTATTTAGGGGATGGGAAGAAGAGAAGGGAGAAGCACTTGATGGAAGGCTGTTAGAGGAGACAAACAAAGGACTAATGCTAACATAAGGCCAAATAAAATACACCCTCTAACAGAGGCATGATGCAAGTGCTGCTGAGACCCACCAATGCTGTGAACACAGACCAGGGAAGGGTTTGGAAGGAACAGGTTTTAAAAGAAGCATTTCACTAGTTAAAGAAGTAAGGGAAGAAAATCCAAGCCTGAAAGGTAATATATAAGCACGAATGTGTGTGGGGCTAGGTGGTCCCCCAAGCAAGGTCCACATCCTGCATCCACAATGTGAGGTATCAGTGGTCTCTGGGGCTCATCTCTAAAATCTAGAATCTTGCAAAAAGGTTGTCTGAACAGTCATTCAAATACAATTTGCAGGAATGTGCAGAAAGACGAATGTTTAACCAAACATTTCCAACATCTCCATTCATCTACTACTATGATGACAAGTACGAAATTCGGGAGAGAGAACAGAGAATAAAACGAAAAGTAAAAGGTATGTTGTTAGACTTCTTGTTAGATCATGTAATACTTCTGAATTTCGTTGTTTGCACTGGCTTTGCCTGTTTTAGGGGGTCTTTAATTGGTGTGAAAGAATGTTTTTAAGAATTACCAGAGAAACTGGAATTTTCTTTATCTCCAGAAGTCATGCACCAACTTCATACATCCTGTGTCCTAATCTATTCACAATAAACAGTTTTCTCACTTAATAAGCACTCTAGAAGATGTCCAAAAAATACTGCTATTGCTGATATACATATACAGGGTTTTTAAACACTCCTTTGAGATTTTTCTTTTTGACAGGTAGTTACTTTTCCCTTTGTATGTCTCTGGTATTCTTCATGGAAAGAAAGAGTTTCCCTGCTAGGTGTTCCTGGGGCTTCTCCTAAGACGTTATTCCTTATAGGCTACATTACAACCAGGTCCACAGCTACCTTCTGAGGTTTGTTTGTTTATAGTTGATAACACAAATATCTTTCTCACAAATTGTTATCTTAAAATTTATGTCAGTTTTCTCTACCTCTCTTCTTTCTTGCTATATACTTAAAGATGGTTTACCAAGTTACCCTTCCTTGCTTTCAGGACAAAATAATTCTGTATTTTTAAAATTGTTTTATACATTGTTTTCTGACTCTTTGCATTTTTGTTATTCTTTTCTGGACTTTATCCAAGTTCAGGTCCTTTTCAAAATAAAGGTGCTAATTCTTAGTAAATTAGAAGAGTTACTTCTCAACTCCTGCATATTTTACATATGTTACATTTAATATAAAATGTATCTCAACTATATAGAGAGAAATTATAGTGTATGAAAACAATGATTAGACAACTGAATTAGAAAATAAAAAGAAATGCACGAAAATATTATCTCTGGATTATCAGATTATAGGTACTTTCTGTTTTTTTTTTCTTATTACTTATCTGTATTTCCTAAGTCTTCTATAATGAGTGTTTGTAACTCTTATGATCAGAGAAAAACAATTTGTTTTCCCTTTTTAACTCATTATATTAACAACTCTGTAGCGCATATACACTTTGAGATTCACTATGATCCACTGGAATTTTTTATTCTAAGTCTGTAAGTATTTAGTACTTATTTTCACTTTATATTCTAGAATTCATTTGTTGCCCCGTACATACACTATGTCTTTAATCCTTTGAGGTTATATTCACGTTTTTGTCCCTCACTGTGACCTCATCTCCCACTACCCCTATCAGAATCACTGCCATCAGGTAAATGAGCACACTCCTAGCAAGCAAGACAAGTCCTGATAAAATATAACATCAGACCTGGCACACGCACACACACACACGTACATTCCCCAAGCCAGTGATCTCTACTCTAGAGGAATAATCTCCTGGCCAGTTTGGCACCCATCTGTAAGTAGTACCATGTTACAGACTTTATCTTCAAAGGATAATGGAAATGTCATATGAGACCGTCAAAAGCCTTGCTGAAGGCCCTTTTATACGTCTTGCTTCACCTTATCTTCAAGGGCTATTTCTGTATCACTGAAGGAACCCAGTTTGGTTGGGCGTGACTTTTCTAAGCTAAGGTGATTATTGCTCTCACTAGTCATTGTCTCCGTTGTTTAACCTAGTTAAACTATATTGAATAGAAAAAATGATTAGTATTGCATTTCTGGGTGTTTCCTATTTTTAGTAATCAGGAATATCGTACGACAACCATTCAACTTTTGGTGAGTGATTTTTATCTTAGTAAGGGCTCTTTAGAATGTCATTACTGCACTTCACTATCTGTCCTCATTAAGTTACTTACAGGACCATGAAAGTGCTGCATGGACTGTCCAGCTGTGAATATGCAAAAAATACCTTTATGTTTTCCAGAACTCCAGAAAAATGGGGATTTTCCAAGACAATTCAAGAGACCTCATATGGAAGCAGTAGATAAGAAACCCCACCGTGATATGAGAAAGAGCCATGGCTCGTGGAGAAACAACAGGTGGCCGCAAGAAAAGAAAGAAGCCCAAAAAGAAATGATGAGCAGGAATAGCAGAGATGGTGAGAAGCACAGGAAGGCTGACAAGTATCATGAAGTGGATGAGGACTTCCCCAGGGGCCCAAAACTCCACCAGAAGCCTGACCGGTCTTCTCGGCACTCATCACATTACCACAGGCCAAGGGGAGAAAAGCTGCCCAAAGAGGCCAAGCGGGGCAAACATAAGAAAAAGGAGAGAGGCCTGGAAGATGATGACAATGATAATTTATTTCTTATTAAGCAAAGGAAAAAAAAAATCTAAGCTCTGAAACAGCTTCTGATTTGGCTTTCCAGTGTTCATTTTGTCTTCATATCTAGACATTCTGGTAACATTTTTATTATCATTAAATAAAGGGAGTTTTTTTGGTTCTGTTTTTAAAATCTCAGCCAGTTCTGAAGAAAGTTGGTGGAGGTCTCAATTCTCTGTATCCAGCAGGTTATTAGGTAAGAAAACAGAAAGATAAACTCAGATTTCCCCTATTCCGGTATGTCATTTTTGCTACTACCCTAGGAATAGGAAGAATTAATCTTTTCAAGAAAACTTTTTAAGAAATATTTTGGAAAAAAAAAAGCTCATCTAATGAAATTTATCTGAAGTGTGGGTGTGAAAATTAAACCCTTGAGGGAAGAGAATGCTAATACAAAAAATTCATCAATCTGCTTCAGTATTACTCTTTTTTTTTTTTTTTAACATTGGAAAGGATAATAGCTTTAGTAAATCTAAGTCCAGCTTTTCTTGCTTCTGAAACCAGTGTCAGAATCTTCCTTTGGTCAGAGAATCACAGGCTGATTGTGAAAATGAAGGCAGTATCATCATTGGAGGCCTGAGGAGGCGGGGAGTTGAGATATAGCAAAATACAAGCAAGGAATCCATTCCATAGAAATGTCCCAAGATAAACGTCCTGAAACAAGTAAAGTCATCAAAAATTTTAATGTAATCACAGTACAATTGTTTTTACCATTTTACAGCCACATTTCAAGAAGACTGTCACTCAGAAATCTAGAGATGAGTATTGCCCAGCATTTTTTTTTTTTTAATTGTTTTCATGGGTTTTTTAACTACTATAAAGTTATACAGAATTTTTCATATTTGTGAATCTTTTGTACATATCAAAGCATAATGTTAGAATAAAAAAAATAAAATGTCTGAAACAGTAAATAAACGTGTCTCTTAGGTAAAAAGAAAATGAGAGTTTGTATGACATGACAAAATGCATAATTGTATTAGAGAAGTGAGTACACTTATAAAATCACCACAAACTAGGGTAAAAAATGCCCTTATTGCCCAAGCTCAAGCTCTCTGCCAGAATAAAGTGGGATAGAATCAGTTAAATAGAACAATTTTATAATGTGAGGTTCTTATATTTGTATTTTAGATAAACTGCTGCATATCTGATAGGATCAGCTCTCTCATCTCTTTGGGAAGAAGGAGGAATTATCTCCTGTCAAGTCAGCTGTCGTGTAAATTGTAGGTCGACAGCATCTACCACTTTCCCTGTTGCCACATAGCTCTTAGCTAAGTTTATAAGTTCATTGTGTGCTGGTACAGACTTCCCACCATCAGCTGAAATTGTTTTGATTCTATGGTTAAAAAAAAAAAAAAACAAAGCCAAACCTGTTGCCATCGAGTTGATTCCGACTCATAGAAACCTTATAGGACAGAGTAGAACTGCCCCATAGGGTTTCCAAGGGGCGCCGACCTCTTGGTTAGCAGCCGAACTCTTAACCACTACGCCACCAGGGTTTCTGATTCTATGGTAAGAACCAAAGCAACCAAAATCTTTTTAACACTCTGGTAAAAGTGACAGCCCTGAAAATCTGCTTCACAGAAGTCATAAACCTTGAGATAATTGGCATTATTCTTCAGTAGGCCCTGGGACAGTCTTGGCTTTTAATAATGTGGTGTAGCTAGTGTTGTTTCTGATCTTTCAGGGCAGAAAAGAGATTGCCATTATTTATTTAGGTTCTTTCGTACATGGAAGATTAGAGGCGGCAGGAAGAAAGGATACACATGTATGCTGCATGATTATAAAGCAGTTTATTTTATTTTTTCTATTTGTTTCTGCACGTTATCTTTTTTCCCCAAAATGTTTTTTTTTTATTAAACCAACGTTTTATTCTGGCCTATGATTCACCCTCCAGCCTATGCATTTGGATGCAGATAGGAAAGGAGGCTGTAGGTACTTTACTTGTAGGCACAGTAAGGGAAGGAAGAAACACCACAGGAGCATCTGCTCCATTTCTTCTTCATTTCCCTCAACCCCTTGGCTCTTACACAGAGTATTCAGTTAAAGTCAGTCAGTTCATCAGTTAGTTGGTATATTCACACATACTTTCCATACACGATTAGGGGGATTAAAAGAAGTATAGACTCAACAATTAATCAAATAAGACTTTAAAGGGATAAATACGATTAAGAAAAGCAGATGTCCAAAACAATAGTGATCCAGATGGTTGCTGGGACTAAGAAGAGTGTAGACATCTTTTGCCTCTGGCCCCACCTTGATTAGAGCAGCCTGAGTGGCTCCTTTCCTGGGTTCCACTTTGATTCACGCTGCCATTCCTAGAATAGAGTGGGGAGAAACGGTTCTCTTGTTCTCTCAGTGGAAATCCTTGCCTTCATGGACCATGCTATTAACAATGCCTATTATTTCAGAACCATGCTATCAACAGTGGCTATTATTAGCTTTTTTTTTTATGTTATATAAGTATTATATACTCATTTTAGGAGAAAAAATTTAAAAAGAAAAACATTAAAATCATACGATTGTTCCACCCAAAGATAAAGTTAAAATTCTTAGTGTCTATCCTTCCAGACTTTTTTCTATACATGTATACATATAGTCTATAAACATATTTTTACATTCTGATTTGTAACCTGTTTTTTCACTTAATACATTGTGAACATCTTTCCTTCCAGTCAAATATACGTCTAGATGATTATATTTAATGGATGCATAGTATTCTAATATATGGCTGCACCGTAATTTAATCAACTCCCTGTTGAATGTTTTGGTTGTTTCTGATTTTCATTATTTTAAAAAATCCTTCTATACACATCACATCTTCTCCAATTATTATTCATATCTTATCCAACTGTGGTAAATTTATAGAAATGGAATTTATGGATCAAAGGGCATGCATAGTTTTCATACAAGTTTTGATACAAATTCCATACTCAAAAAGTCTCATGCTCCCCCTAATCTTTTTTTTATATCCCTGGCAATGTATGAGAATTTTCATCTTCCCTCTCCCACTACATGGGTGTCTTAATCATCTAGTGCTGCTCTAACAGAAATAAACACAAGTGGATGACTTTAACAGAGAGAAATTTATTTTCTCACAGTCTAGTAGGCTTCAAGGCCAAATTCAGGGCATCAACTCCAGGAGAAGACTTTCTCTGTCTGTCAGCTTTCTTCTCATCAGTGTTCCCCCGGACTAGGAGCTTCTCCGCACAGGGATCCCAGATCCAAAGGACACGCTATGCTTCTGGCCCTGCTTTCTTGGTGGTATGAGGTCCCCAATTCTCCACTTGCTTCCCTTTCCTTTTATCTCTTGAGAGATAAAAGGTGGTGCAGGCCAAACCCCAGGGAAACTCCCTTTACATTGGATCAGAGTTGTGACCTGGGTTAGGGTGGTGTTACAATCCCACCCTAATCCTCTTTAATGTAAATTTAGAATCACAAAATGGAGGGCAACCACACAACACTGGGAATCATGGCCTAGCCAAATTGATACACGCATTTTTGGGGGGACACAATATAATCCATGACAGTGGGATATTATCATTCCGTTTTCTGTTTGCCTATAGGGTCTGTCCTGTAGAGTCACTATGAGTTGGAATCGACTCAACAGCAGTGTGTTTTTCTGTTTGCCACTGTGATGGACAAAGCAACGTTATTTATTAGTACTGCAGTGAAAAGATTGATGTAAGGTATATTTGGGTAAGGAGACAGGATTATCAATATATCAATAATCTGTTGATAAAAGATAGAGAAGCTTCACAAGATACGTCTGAAAATTCTTCTGCCAACAAAGGATTACATACAAAATAAGAGCCTTTACATTCCTTCATAGCCATCTTGATTCCCTGATCTGATTATTTTGGGTTTTCACAACTTAGCGGGTACTGCTGGCATCTGATGAGTAGAGCCCAGGGATGCACAGGACAGTCCCCCACAACAAAGAATTACCTGACCAAAATGTCAATAGTGCTGAAGTTAAGAAACCTTAATTGAAACCCCTACCCATTTCTCAAAAGAAATCCTGCTCAGTAAGAGAGGAGTTCTTCCTGTATTGAGGAGGCGGTGCTGGGAGTCTGGAGAGGCCCAGATGGCTAGAGTTCACAGGTATTAGAGCCATACAGGAAGAGCCAAGAGATCTGGAGAGGGTCCCCTTTGAGTCTTCAGCTGAGTACTGATGATAGCGAGTACTGAGCACAGGATACCACCTGAAAGGATTAGAGGAAACTATTTCTGGAACTCACACAGGGCCAAGAATAGTTTTCTTACCAGTCAGAGTGAAAAACCTCATCATTCATGGGGCATTGGCTAGGTACCCAGAAGTGTTTTGCCTCAGTAACGGGGAAAAATTAGACAAGGTCTAAACTCTGGTTCAGATGTCTTATTGATACAATGAAGAGACAAGGCCCCAACACCATTCTGTGCATGACATCACCAAAATGGGGACAAATAAAGCCTCAGCTAACTGGGCTGAGAGGTTGCACCCCCAAATGGAAAGTTCTGAAGTGGCCCTTCGGGAAGGTGGCTTCGAGGCTGGAGAGGGGTGGGAGTGAGTGTGGGGTCACACTCGGATTTCACAGCTCTGCAAAGCCTCAGGCAGACAAAAGGAGATGTAAGTCTTTAAATTATCAATATAAGTGATATCAAGCAAAGAAAGTAGAAGCCCACCAATATAATACTTGAGTAAAAACAACCCTAATATTTCAGAAAACAACCACACCTGCATTTTCTTAGAGAAATTTAATCTGGGAGGACTAGTCTTATTTCTAATCAAAAGTCAATGTTTTAGAGACCAGGGAGTTTTAGTGTTGTCATCTGTCACACTCTATCAGACATGTTTCTTGCCCTCAGAGGGCTTCCACTCTGAGGTGAGGGAGAGAAGCCCTGAGACCATGACTGCCACTCAGGAAGAGGCCTGGAGCAGGACTGTACATGCAGAGGAGAAAGGCACTTCAGTGTCAGTGGGTCGGGGCTGGTGGAGACCCAGGAAAACTTCACAGAGGAGGTGATCCTTGGAGCATAGGAAAGACTTTGACGTGTAGGATAAAAGGAAGTGAATTTCAGATGAAAGGAGTATGAGCCACAGCCTGGACATAGGAAAATGCTTAAGAAGAGTCTAGTACAATTTGCTCTGACTAAGGGTGACCTGCAGGGGAATAGAGGGCGATACATTGGAGTGAGATCACTGAAGGCTTGGAACTTGAGGCTAACTTCTCTGTGTTTCAGTTTCCTCATCTATAAAATGGAGATAATTCTCAAGAGCACTGTGAAAATTAAATCTAATATAGATAGACTACTTACATAGTGTCTGATAGATAGAAATACTTCATATAAACAGTAGTTGATACACAGAAGGGCGGGGGGAACCATCACAGCATTTTGAGTGGGGAGAAGAAAGGTGCCCACTTGGAGATGAGCTTTAGATTAATATAAACCAAAAAAAAAAAAAAAAAACCCGTTGCCATCGAGTCAATAACACTGTGCAAATTAGCACTTTTGTTAATATTAGTTACTTTTAAAGTTGCTGTTCTTCAAAGGTATTACATGGCCTTTATCTGCCTTTGTACAGAGAGGCAGTAGGTGGTCTTTATCTCAAATATGGAAACAGGCAGTTGGCAAACTGAAGCAGAATTTTTTAAAAAAATATTGAGATTTTGCTGAAAGTTTACACATCAAGTCAGGTTCCCATTTGACAATTTCCACACAGATTGTTCAGTGACATTGATCGCAGTGTGTCAACATTCTCTTTCATTGTGTTTGTTCCCCTTCCAGTACTCTAGTTTCCCTGCCCCCTTATCTTCTCATCTTTGCTTTTGAGTAATTGTTGACCTTTTAGTCTCATACTGATGGTTTTTAAGTAGAGCACCAACCTTACGGGTAATAGCCTTTATTTTGTGTGCCGCTCCGCTGTTTTGCTAAAAGGTGAAAGGATCTCAAGGGGATCTGAAGCAGAATCTTGACAAAACCCTAATCCCTAGAACTCAGTACAAGACCTCCCCTGGTAACTTTTGTACCTTGGTTAAAAAAAAAAGTTGCTGTGGAGTCGGTTCCAACTCATGGCGACCCCATGTGTGTCAGAGTAGAACTGTACTCCATAGTGTTTTCAATGGCTGATTTTTTTGGAAGTAGATCTCCAGGACTTTCTTCCAAGCTGCCTTTGGGTAGACTCTAACCACCTTTCTTTTGGTTATCAGCTGACT